GGGGCAGGGCCGGGCGTCCCGCTACGGAAGAGCCGCGGGAAGGTGGCTCCGCGGGGTTCCGGGGCGGGCGTCCTTCTCCAGAATCCGCCACCCCGCGTCCACCCCAGCCGGACGGGCCGTGAGGCAGGCCCCGATCGCCCCGCCTGCCCGAGGCGGAGAGGAAGAAGATGCGGGAAGGGTCTGGCCCTCGGCATCCGAAGGGGACCAGGCAAAGAATGCGAGGGGCCGCCGCCGCTTCCCACCTGCGTCAAGCTCCAGCTGGTAACAGGGCAGCGGCTCGAGCGAGAGTTTGTAACCCTCGAACCGGGGATCCAACAGCGGTCTCTTCACCCGCAGGGAGCAATTAGCGGCCACCTCCATCGCCTCCCGGGATCCTAGCGTGAGAATTAATAAAGCTCTTGTTGAAAGGTCCGCGCTTCACTCGTAGCGCGGAGGCTGGAAGGCTGCGTGGGTCCCATCCCAGAAAACACTGCGGGGCGGCATGCCTTCTGGGAAGCGTAGTGCCCGTGAGAAAGTTGACTGTTGCATTCTGGGCTATGTAGTTTACAGCGGACGCACCTCCGGCACGGCCGTAAGAGAGTGGACTCTCTTACCCAGAAGGCTGAGCGACCGGGAGGCGGCCCGCGCTGGTTAAATTCTCACATTATAGGCAGGCTGGCGAGGCCCCGCCCCGGAAATGCGTGTTCTAGCTTTCTGTGTGCTTAGGCGCCCGAGCTACTGAGGGTCTAAGTCCGGGCAGCCGAAGAGTGTGGTAGGTAACGGTCGTCAGCGCAAGGGTCATTTCGTCGCTGGGAAGGGACGGCCCTCGCCCGCGGTGATGGTGGTGAGCTATGCCCGTGGTCCTCCGGGCCGGGACCCGGGCCCAGCCCAGGCTCCTTTCGATGTGCTGTCTTTCGTTCGCTTCCCCGACCCGCGCTCGCGGGCCTGTAGGGCTCTCCGACAGGGCGTGCTACCGGAGTTGGCCTGGAGCCAGTCCTCGCTTTGTTTTCTGGCTCCTCCCCTCCCGCCTCTCCTGCTGTCTCCGCCCTGTTCTGTTTTCCCCAAGAATGACTGAACCGGGAGGGATCCCCTAGCGCCCTTGTTTTACCAGTGAGAAAACTGAGGTCTTTAAGAATTGACTTGTCCAAGGTCACACTCCCCGTCTTCTGGGGGCCAGGGCGCGATTAAGTTCGATATTCTGGGGACGGTCCTGCCTAGACCTTCGAATTGGTTTGAAAATGTTAGCCTCCAACTGCAAAAGCAAACATTTCCCAGCCCCTTCTCAACCCCCTCCTTTTCCCTGTTGCACTGGTGGGGAAAAAAAAAAAGAAATTTCAGCTCTGAAGGCTCCCTGCCAGCCTGAGTTTTCCCACAGGCCAGACGGCAGGCGACGCAAGTAGCCCGAAGTTAGGGACAGTAATAAGGGTAGCTCGCCCGCAGGTTTACAGCCTCACCGCCCTCTGCTTTCTGCACCATTTTGGCTGCAGTTGTCTGTCTTTACTGAAAGTTGAGAGCTCCCAAGTTAGGGATTAGTTGGGGATTCCTTTTCCCCTCCTCTCACCAGCAAGCTCCCCTGAAGAGCAGACACGGATGTGCTTTCAGCTGGCTTCCGAGTCGTGATTCTGGGTGAATCCTAGTGAAAAGTGAAGCACTTAAAACCCTGTCTTGGAGATTTCATTTTCACCCACAGTGCTTACCCATTTACTGACACTTAAGCCTACATTATGACTTCCCCAAAATTTTGACCGCGGTTAAGGCGCAGGAAAGATCAGCAGTCAGTGACGATGAGCTGCCCAGAGTGTTTGGCGGGGAGGGTTCTGGGGTCAAAGCACCTGAGTTCAAAACCTGCTTTCGCCACTTTCTCAGTGCCTCAGTTTCCTCATCTGTAAAATACAAATGACATTAATGATACTTACATAAAAGAATAAGTTCTGGGAGTTGAATGAGATTGAGAAAACCAATGTGTTAGCCCCGGACGGGGCACATAAGTGTTTAGTAAGGGTTACAGTAATTACCATTTAAAGTCTCATGTTAATAAAGGGTATATGGGGGAAGGAGACTGTTAAGTGAGTTTATCAGTATGACTTCTTGGGATGCAGTAAATATTAAGAGTAATGACATTGTTAACACATTGTTGACATTTATCACCCCTTCAGTTGATAGGGTGTTAAAGGTGTTGAGATGCTTGCCTGGAGGATTTAGGAGAAAATGCTTTTTTTAAGTGTCTCTATCTGAAAATACGTGTTGATGTTCAGGTTAGCAAGATGAACAAAGATGCGCAGATGAGAGCAGCGATTAACCAAAAGTTGATAGAAACTGGAGAAAGAGAACGGTAAGTAATAGACTGTGTTAATAAATTACATTTAACACCTTTAAATTATAGTTACATTATATATAAGAATCTAAATATGAAGGAACAAAACTGATGTCAGTGGAAAGAATTACAGAAAAGTAAAGATTGTCAAAAGCTTCAGTTCCTAACATCTATAAAAAATAGGTTTGTTCAGTATTTCAAGACTTAGAGGGACATGGATGTAGTAGGAAGATGAAGAAGAAATGGCTCTCAGAGGTGGTATAATAGCGAAAAAAATTCCCAAATAACTACAATTGGAGATATAAAGTTACCTAGTTTTTAACAGGGAGATAGCGTAATAGAACCAGTTGTTGTTACCACGCTTTCTCTCTTTTTTTTCGATCCTCACCTGAGGATATGTTTTTATTGATTTGAGAGAGAGGAGGGAGAGGGAGAAACGTGGATCAGTCCCCTCCCACACCCG